TTCAATGTAAGCAAATAAGAGAGGGGATTTAACTTACCAATTTAGTACATAAGGAATGGATCAAGAAGGATGCATGAAGTAAGACTTCGATAATAATGATAGGAACACACAATCACCGGTGGCTGCCAACTAAATGGAGGAGAAAAGATGACATTGCATAATGAGAGAAGGAGAGGAGACTGAAGCTCAAAGCTTCCGCACACACAAATCAACGTCACAACAAGGAAGGACATAGATATGAAATTTTCTCACCTATAAAGCGAGTGAGACATGAGAGGAGGAAGTTGAGACTCTCCATGGCCACCCACAAGTTCAATAGCAATATAGAGATAGGAAGGATAAAGGATTGACGGTGATTCAGAAATAGGGAAGAAGAAAATGAAGTTCATGGCTGAAAAAAACATTACATGCAAGAAAGGAAGGAGAACAGAATCAACAACACTAGACCAAGGATAAAAAAAAGGCTTGGGATCAACACCTCAATTTACAGTGATCTAATTCCCCATACCACTACCAATGACACAAATGCAGAAGAGCAAGAACAAAGTAGAGGAAGATGAAGGGCAAAGATTGCCGGCTTGAAGGTTTAAAGCTTTTGGAATGAAAATTTCAAGCTTTCTCTTTGGTCCAAAATGCGACAAGGAATGAAGAAGATAGGAAAAATCTAATAGAGAAAAGGGGCAAATAGGTAATTTTAGAAGGCTATATATATAATAAAACTTCTTCCCTAAGCTATTGGAGTTTAAACTCAAAACTTGTTAAATAAGGTGTGGACTCAATTTCCACTAGACTAATTCTTCCTCTTGATAAATTTGTTCCAAAAATTAATAAAAATGCAATCAAAATTTAACCATAAATTTTTTTAATCAAAATTTCTGGGTCATTACAAGATACTTATTGGTAAGAGAGCTATCAATATAGTAGCAACAATATGAGTACACAAGCTATCAATACTGTAAGTAGATTGATTGTAACAATTATGAGTGCTGTCTTAAGTTTAAGTATGCTAATCATAAGTGATATGAGTATGAAGATCAATATTGGTATGAGTACATTAAGGAATGACAATATGAGCATCTTAATAACCATCGACATGATTATGTTGATCAATATGAGGATGGTACCTATCACCATTATGAGTATGTTGACTTTTAAGAGGAAATAGACAAAGTTACAATTAAACTGAATCGCTTTCAGTAAGAATAAAATTGTTTTTATGACAAGCTTATGAGGGACTATAGTGAAGTTAAGAAGGTAGCCTATAAGGTAAAGAGGATAGTTGATGAATTGAGGAAATAGATGGAAGAACAAGCATCAAGTGAGCCAAAAATAGTAGAAGCTCCTTCCTTGCAAGTAGAATGAGAGGTTGAAAATCAAATTAAAGCTTTATTGACTCTAATAGAAATTACTGTGATTGAGAAGAATAATTACTTTGATCATATGCCTTCATTGGTACAAATTCTCTAAACAATTATCAAGTTGTCTACTATATACTAGTACAAGTGGCTCATTCTCAAATTGTTCCTATCAAGGATAAATCTCATCATGTACAGCTATTCCTCATCTGTAGGTTACACCTCCCAAGGTCATTTCACTACTTAATGGTCAAATCTAGCTTACACCTTATCCATTGGAAGGGTTTTCTAGTAATTTTGCATAGTCAAATTGCTCACTTCTGTTAGAGCTTGTTCTTTTACTACCTAACCTGTTGGAAGAGATTCCTATATGGTCTCATATATCAAGCTACTTGCTCTTGCCAAAGCTTGATTTTTCAGTATCTCACCTATTGGAAAGGGTTTCTAGATTTGAGCACTTGGTTGAAATTTATCCCACCCTTCTCTTCTTGAATTTATGTCTTAATTTTAACTTGTTAGGAGCTAAGTTTTTCATGTGGGGGAGAAATGGTGTAATATGGGATAAAATATAATTAGAGTTTAATTTAGATATTAGGACTATTAATTAGAGATATTTAAATAAGAATATTTATCCATTAGAATTAGAATTTATTATTTATTTTATTATTATTTTAGATATCAATATCTTTAAAATTAGATATAGATTTGGGATTTAGAATTTGAATTATTTTATTATTTTAGGGCTCTATAAATAGAGCTAGTAATTTTCATTGGTAGTTAGTTTTGAGTATTGAATAATAAGAGTTAATATTTTTCCAGCCTTTTCTCTCTCTCTTCCCCTTATTTTAATTAATCTTTGGATTTTTTAATTAGTCAAGGTTAATTCTGTCTTCTCTTGGCATCTTCTTAAATTAATTTATTGGCTTTAGAGACTGCAATTATTTTTTATTAATGTTGGAATATATTACATTTTTTTTGAATAGAAGGCCACGGATAAACTGTGCTAAAAGACAACTTATGTCATGTTAGCATATAAAAGATTTCTACAACCAAGATGTGAGATATCTAAAATATGAACATTAAGATTATCGATAGAAGCTTAGTGAGCCATCTAATCCATACATTTATTTGCCTCTTTAAAGACATGATCATAAGTAATTGTCCAGTCTTTCATTATAAGGTTTTTAATTTTTTTGATAGTTACAGTTAGAGGATGATTTGTAGAGAACTCATTATGTATTAGTGTGAGAACTTCTATAAGAAGTTCAGCTGTTAAACTTGAGTGATATTCAAGATATTTGGAAAAGCTTTTGATCCAATTGCCTTGGTGATCTCGGTTAAGATCGCTACAAGAAGTTACAACTTGATTGTTGACAAAGCTGTTTATTTTAGGTCTAACCTGTCATTCTCTAGGGGAGAACCAATTTGTTTTTGATCTATTACCCTATTAAGTCAAAAAGTTGATTCTTGATCAGAGGTATTGATCACCTATCCTGAATGATAGTAAAAGCAATGAAAGACATTACATTTCATTTTCTTTGCATTTTCATTATTTATATCTCTATGATCGTTGTATCTTTTATTATTTATTGTTGATTAAAAAATAAAAATAAACTCGTTATTTTTAATTTTTAATTTTTGTTTTGAATCTCAATTTATCTCTCCTTTTCATTTGAAATTTTTCAAACTACCCAAAAAAGAATTTTAAATACTTGAATTTTAAATGTAAGATTTTAAATTTAAAATTTATATCCAAATCTATAAATCTAAATGCTACCTAAAGTTAGTTGCAGTATGTTGCATACATCCATAACTTTATGTCAATGAATTAGGGTCTTCTCAATATAAAAAACCTTTATCAAAGAATAGCACATCTTTAATTTGAATGCGATGGTTTTTTTTTATCCCAATTTCATTAATATAACTGATTTTCAACTATTTTTGGGAGAATGACAAGTAGGGACCTCATAAGAATGTTCATATTAAATTATAATTTTTTTAACACCAACGTTTTCAAATTTAGTATTCCTCTCCTTATATTTTAGTATCAAAATCCTTGATTTGGCATTTTCTCATGTTTCAATACTAAAATTCTTGATTTGACATTAATATTCTTATAAATTCCTTACTTGTTATTCTTCCACCATTTTTTGGCATGAACTATTCATTGATTTTTCAGTCTTCTTAATTAATTGGTGGTAAAAAAAAGTCTAGTTAATTAATTAGTTAATTTTATTTAACCATCAAATTAATGATCGACCAAAAATTAGATTTTTTTTTACAATGGAAAATAATTCATTAATCATAAAATCTGAACAAGAGTCCAGTTTCGAAATACAACCAAAATCCATAAAGACCAACACGAAAACAAAAATAAAGATCTCTAACATTAACCAAATTCACAAATATTCCTCCAAAAGCATTTGCAAGCAAAAGAGAGGGAGGGTTGGGGGGGGGGGGGGAGGTTATCATCATCACCGGCCCTCAAAAGTTTTACCGACCCAATCAGTAACTTGATTACCTCTATACGACCTTTTTTTTTTTGGAGGACAAACTATATGGAGCTGATATTTCATCTAATATATTATATTAATTTTATTAAATAAAATTTTATATATTATTATTTTTAATGAATCAAGACTCGATATGTCAATATAAGACTTGATATAATAAAATCTTATGTGTCATTATTTTTAATGACTTTATTTTGATAATAAAATATTTAATTTCTCATATTTTCTCTCATTATTATTATTAATTTTATAATCAATTTATATGTAATATCATATGAATGTTATATTTTTATTAAATAAATTATTGATATTGTGATACATTAGGTCCATCTAAAATTTTTTGTAACTCTCCTAAAAATCTAAACAAATTGAAAATTCCTTACAAAGTTCCTCTTAAAGAGGATATTTTTAACATGAATATGACATCTCCAATCAGGAGGAGTCAAATGATCATTATAACAAAATGTTCTTATTAATATTATGAATATTGTGAAATTCATTTAGTTTGATTTAATTGAATAAAAATATATAATTGATTATGTATAAAGTCTTCTTCAAAAGGATTTTAATTGCTTTTCGTCATTAGCTTTGATTAAATCTGTTATATAGAGATGTAATTTCTTAATTTTTATAAAAAGTGTAAATAATTAAAGAGAACAATTTATATGCATAACTTTGTATGCTCAAGATGCATATTTTTAATTAATTAAATAAAGACATCTGAATATTTTATATATTATTTATTTAATAATAATTTTTTTTATCAATAATAATAATAGTAGTAGTAATAGTATTGAAACTACTTATTTTGCATGGGTTTGATAAAAATATATTAAATATATGTCGATTCTTAAATATACTTAACTGTACAAGGATGTTCATAATTTCTGTTATTTGATTTAATATAAAAGATCTTAGAAAATTGCAGACTCATTTAATTTTTTTTGGCCAACAGGCTCATTTAAATTTAAATCCATATAGGAGACTTTTTAATATTTTTTTTAAATGTTAATCTTAGATCCCAAGACATCACAAATTCAAAATTAATAGAATTATTATTATTATTATTATTAAATTTTCAGGGGCGTTAATCTGTTCCTTCCCTAGCGATTACGTGTTTCTAAACGGCAATTCATGCCATGGACATGGGGCTGATGGTACAGTGATAGGGTGGAGTAACCGACTATATCAATCTCAGGTTCCTCTCTATCTCGCAGATTCTCTCATTCCCCCCTCCCTTCTCAGGAAGGCCTAAAACTCGCTGGGTTTTCCAATCAATGCCGAAAATCCTTCATCGCTACTGGAAAGTCATTCTTCCATGGTCTTCCTTCTCTTCCGGCAGGAATTTCCATTACTGCGTTAGAGGATTTTGACATCACCTCAATTTAGTCAGGGTTCTGAGGCCGTCGCAATTTTGATAGATTTTGTTTTTTGGTAGGCACGCTCTATTAGGGTTTTATTTCTGCGTTCTCGCGTAAAAAATGGGTAGCTCTGATCGGGTCGATGATCGGGCCTTCAATGCAAATTTCTCGGCTGATGGAGTGGAGACGCTGAAGGAAAGAGTGATAGATAAGCTGAAGGAGTTCATGGGCGAATACACTGACGAAACTCTTGCGGTACGAGCTTAGTGTATATGCTTATGTGTTCTGTGTAGGAATGGGTTTCTATCAGTCTGGGATGATCATTGGCACACTTTCCTGTTCTGGCATTGATATGACATGCGTTGTTGATTGGTTTTTGGAACAATGATTAGGCTTCTGCTCCTGTATTTAATTTGTACTGCTCTGATTTCTATGCCAGTTGGGGAATGCCATTGTAATATTGTATGTCCAAGTGTGGACCCTTTTGGAGGTCTCAATTCATGCATTTGGATAAACAAGGAGAGAAACTTCACCTACCTATCACCATTACGGTTTTTTGAAGAAATTAGAAATTAATTCTTCCACTTGATTATTAGAAATTAATTCTTCCACTTGATTAATATCTGATGTGTAGTAGTTTTTTTCTTATCATTCCATATATTGTGAGGTGAGGGAGAGGTACTTGGAGGAGGAAAATTCTAGTAAATTTTGACCAGATGACTGAAATAGTAAAAAAATCCTACAAATTAAACTATTCGCACATTGTGTAGTGATAGATCTAGAAAAATGTAAAGTATGATTAGAATTTTCAAGTTGGAAATAGGATTATGGGTTACTGGTCATTTTACAGCCAAACCATGAGTTGGTCATTATGATTTCCTTACGGCTCTTCTAGTTTATATTAGGGGCAGAAAGGAAGGAACTCATCTGGTTATGATTTTATTTGTGGTCTCTTGTAATGAAATGCTCTCCATGAACTTAGGGACATGAAACTTGATAAAGTTATTGCCTACTCAAACTCTGAGCTAGCAAATTTTTTTGCTTGTGCTCTGTCTCGTGCAAAATAAGCTTCTGTAAAATGTCTATTTAGCAGGATTGTAGTTAAAGGTGCTCACTGCTCACCTTAGCTCCTAAGGGTGAAGTGACGTGCCATGCACCATTTGATAGGCGCTGCTTTCACTGAGGTGCCAACAAGTGCTGGCATTTTGATCCTTATTCTTATTAAAGGTGTGCGCAGCCAATTCCAAAAACTATGAAACACAACCTGAATACCTCAGACTGGCCTTTCATAACAGGATAATATAGTGATTCTAACTTTTAAATATTAAGATGTTTAAGATATTAGTTTTTCAGGGCTCTTTGAACAAACCATTAAATAGAAGTGTCATTCCATATGCCATATTTTTTCAGAATTTATTTGTAAAATATTATTTCAAATTACGTTTATCTACTTTTTTTTAAATCATATCCTTCTTACTTTAGCTCTTTGATCCACTTAGGTGTGCATCTTTCTAGTGCTTCTTGCCTAAGGTGTTTAATAGGTCTAACACCATGAGGGTGACTTTTGCTTTTGACTAACTTGAATAGGATTGGGTTGTAAACCTATTATTTAGAGTTTTACGCCTTGTAAGCTATTCCACATCTTCAGATTTTCTCTTTCAGTTCAAACTCTTACATTTTTAAGATAAAAAAGTCGCATTGTGGAATTTGTTAATATAAGTTGACGTGGATGCCTTTTGACACTTGAAGGGCATTTCAATATGGGATATAATTTAAGCACTTATTTTATATGCTTAATATGTTTTTTCAAATCAAATTTGAACAAGTGGAGTTTAAAATTACAAAAAAAAAAAAAATCAAAATGTTAATAACAAGAGTTAGTTGTCGGGAAAAACAGGGATAAAAAAATATGTTCTAATTTGATTGGTAAAATGTATTTTAAGTATATAAGCTTAAGTATTTTAGCTCCATATCTAAGACTCTAAGCCCCTCAAAAGAAAGGGCCGTGAGTCACTAATTTTGGTGCAATAAGAATTAGATTTTTGTTTGATCGAGCTATATTAATAAACTTTTTTTGGTTATGGTGATAAATTATGTAAAGACTGGAAAATATTATAAACTCTTCTACTTGTAGAACACACCATGCCTTGCCCTGATCATCTGTGAATCTTTTTGGGCAAGGGACAGATATTGTATAGTTATTGTTCTTTACAATTGTTTTTAGATTATGTACATGTTGGTTGATGAGAAATATGTGCCCCCTTAAATTTTTCCTGTCCTTCTTTCTGGTAGTATATGGATCATATTAGAACATATCAATAGTTAGGTGAAGGCAAACTGTTATTTACGTGGGAATTGGACGAAGCATTGGAATGTTAAGAAGTCTATTGATGTGGTTCAGTTGAGAAAATTTATTGATGGTTGAAATCTAAGATTATAGCATTTAAATCTTATGCTAAATGATTTTTTTTTTTTGTTGAAACACATTTTGTACCATCTAAATGTAGGTATATCTGTCATTGAAATTAGTTGAATAAATTCTTCACGTGTCTCTGTTTCTATTCGTATCTGATGTTCATTCATTTTTATAGCTATCTTTTAGCCATTAGCCTCCTGTTAGTTACTGAGCAGCACAATTAATCTGACGGAGGGCATATTGTGTATTTTAATTTTTCCATATTTAGATTGATTTTAATGACACAATTTAGTTTTGTGCTGTTTCTATTATATGATGGACATGAATTTTTCCATATTTACATTGCTCACTGCAAACATAAAATGAATCTCAACCTATGCCATGTAGGAATATGTCATTGTGTTGTTGAGGAATGGTCGGTGCAAAGAAGAAGCAAAGAGTGGGTTGGATGTATTTTTGGGGGATGACAGTGATTCTTTTGTATCATGGTAATTTCTTTTTATCCCTCTTTAATGGGTAAAGCTAATTGCTAGTATTATCATACATACACACTTAATTGTATTATAATCATATTGCTATGCCCCCCTCGTTAGGCTGTGGGATCATCTGGCTGTGCATTTAGATTTGTATGTACAACCTAAAGAATTGCGAGAGGAAGCTCCCAAGAGAAAGCTCTCATCAGAGGTCCATGTGGGAAATAATGTTTCTCAGCATTTCGATTCACAATCAGAAAGAGGAAAGTCTCATAAGTCGTCAATAAGTCAGCATAACAAAGATTGGAAAGGAGTAGCAAGGGAAGAAACTGAACCATCTCAGAGCTCTGAGGTTGACAATGCTCATTTGAAGGAAAAGGCCCGATCAAAAGTAAATCACAGTCCAAGGTCACGATCTCCATCTCCAGTTAGGAAGAAAAGGGGCTGGCCTGATGGGCAGCTGAAAACAAAGGTTTGAACTCCTATAAGATCTATTGATTATATGATATATGCTCAAGGACAAATTTCTATGGTGTTTATTGATAGTTTTGTTCAAGGGGGGAACATAAGTGATATTTTCATACAGCTAGAGGGATACTGCAATAGTGGCTGCTTCCCCCCCCCCCTTGTTCAGCTTGATGTAAATGGCATATTTGTTCATGTGACGCTTCATATTGCTTGTATACTTAAAAATTTTAAAGAGGAATTCTATAGATTCATTTTTAAGTGACTCTTTCAAACTTCCATGATATGTTAGTATGAGAATCTAATTCACTTCTAAAGCAAATAAAATTACATTGTTAGTTTTCTTGTTGCTCCTCGTTTCCTCTCCTTTATTACTTTTGTGTTTTAGTGAGTTAGTAGTGGCTATTGATGATTTTTGCTTTCAAACTTCTAACATAAGAAATCAATAGAAGGATGTTTCAAAAGCAACTATGAATGCTCCTCGACGGCTACTCCAGTTTGCAGTGCGAGATGCAGTGGCAACATCTGGGCCATCTAATTTGGGCATGACAGTGGAGCCCTCATTGAAGCGTCTTCGTTCTGTGGTTTCTACTCCCTCTGGAAATTCCTCTTTGGTCAAACATCCGCTGCTGAAACAGTCTGTTTCAAGGGTGCAAAATCCCATGGCTACTGTGATTAATGCTGCAGCAGAAGCTGCCGAAGATGTGATTGAAATCAAATCATCAAGAAGTGTATTTGACCGACTTGGTCGTGGTATGAATCCATTGGATGGTGACAAACAACTTGGAGATAATTACACAAGTCAGGAGCAAGACCAATCATATCTTCAAGGATCTGACTCCATTGGGCAGTACGCTGCGAATGTGACTCTGTTGGACCATGATGGTGATTTTCTTTCTGATTCTACCTCTGATAATGAACTTCATGGTGATGTCAATGCCATGGGTCATCAAATGACTGGTGCTTCTCAGATTGGCTTCTCTAGTGGTTGCAGAAGTGAGGAGTCGCTGATGGCTCAGTACGGTGCAGTTAAAAATGCAGATGATACCATGCTCCTAAAAAGGAATAGAAGCCAGGAGCGAGCTGCTGCTGCACCTAATGCTTCCAATAAAATTATGAATATATCTGTTAATGTAAATACTTGGAAACCACAGCAATATCAGGAATCAAGAGAGTTCGCAGAAGCTGGTGGTCACAGAAAAGTAGATAGTGAAACAGGAGCTCCCAGATCTGGCCAGCAACTGTTGAAGGGGAATGCCAAACCCTTGAACACGACTAATGGAAATGTGAGTTACTGGTATAAGCATATACTAGTTTTTTTTTTTTTTTTTTAACTGGCCAAATATGCATAATCACTTAAGACACTTTATGTTAGATAATTATAATGAACACGAGTTCAGTTATGGTTTATCTTCATTAATCTTATGCCATTTGATAGGGAAACCAAGGTGCTGATATTCAGAAAGAGTCTAAGAAGATCCAATTATCTACTTCTGGTTAGTTCTAGATTCTCTTTCATGGAATTTCTTCCTGCCACCAAGAGAAACATGTCAACAGTTGCTTACTGCACATATATTCTACACCTTTTTCTTTTGCCATTTCCGTTTCCGTTTCATTTTTCAGTCACTATTCTAGACTTTGAATCACTTCTCATCTACCTAAAGGTTCCTATTTTGAATACCCAGGTTCAAATGCTGCTGGTCGTCCTTTAGATGATGCTGATGCCAGAACTATTTTTGTTAGCAATGTAATGGCTCTTTTTCGTTTTATTTTTTATTTTTTAAGGACTTCTGGGTTGGGAGGGCAGGCTCCAGGGATATGCAGAATCTGTTGATTTTCTGAATTTACGTGGTTTTGACTGTCTCAGGTGCATTTTGCTGCCACCAAAGATAGCTTGTCTCGTCATTTTAGTAGGTTTGGGGAAGTGCTAAAAGTCATTATACTTACAGAAGCAGCAACTGGCCAACCAAAAGGGTAGGATGTCTCTGATTTTGATCTTGCTCTTTGGTTGTCCATTTTTTATTTGGGCAACTCTCTACTGATTGCATTTCTTGAGCAGGTCAGCTTATGTGGAATTCATGAGAAAAGAGGCTGCTGATAATGCATTATCTCTGGATGGAACTTCTTTTATGTCACGCATTCTGAAGGTAGATATGACACGAGAATAGATGGTGCATCCGGGAAATCATATTTTTATAATCTCTATGAGAGTATTCTCTGGAAATTTTGCTCTAGACTTCACGACTACTTTCCATGTAAAACAGATAAAAGATGATAGTCTTCTAGTCCAAAATGTAAGTCCTATTTAACTGACTTCATATGGACCATGGTGGTTAAAAGTAACCACTATTACCCTTATTAAAATTAGACTGCATGATTCCGATAATATAAATTCATTCTCTCACATTTAATTACCTACGAGGATAGCTTCGGAAAATAGCTTTAATAACCTACATATTACCAAATAGGACTTATACTTTGGACCACAAAAAGCTTGGAGAAAAAGAAAAGGACTTATATTTTGGATCGATTGAAGTATATATTTTTCATCGCATCTCCATGCAATGTTTGCTAGATTTTGGCAGGGTAAGATGACTCCCATGCCCTGGGACAATGTTGCATGTTGTGCATGTTTTTAATATCTTGCTAATAGACATGGTTAGTGAAACGAGAAGTCATCAATTATTTTCATTTTGTAGGTGGTGAAGAAATGTGCGGCACATGTAGAATCTGTTCCAACCATGACGTGGCCACGTGTGATGAGGGGTTCTCCATTTCCTCCTTCTGGGTTTTCCAGAGTTCCCTTCCCAAGAGGTGCTCCGGCCTTTACTCCCTGGCCCCCAATTAAACCTGGAGCCAGGAGCTTGCAGTGGAAGAGGGATGCTCAGGGTGCTCCTGGCCATGGTGCTTCTTTAAATGCTAGCGGCGCTTCTGTGCCCTTTTCCCGTAGTCTCACCTATGTCAGAGCAGAAACAAAAACCTAAGGCAGCTTTTGGTACCACCTTTGGTTCTCAAAATCATGGGAAGGCTCATGGCATCACAGAGTGGGTTTCCATATGTTGATCAACAAAAAGGAGGGAAAAGAGAAGGGGGAAAAAACAAAGGAACTGAAGAACTTGCCTGGTCTAATTATTGGATCAGAACAGAAACTAACACGGAAGGCAGCTGAGGCATACCTCGCGAATTGGTTCTTACAATAATTAGAGCTCATGATTGCATCAGCGTGGCACTCTGTTCGCAAAATAAAAGGAGGACTTAAGGGCATTACTGGATTAATTTTTGAAATATCATTCTTCTGTAAATGGGGAAGGACCTTACAATAATCCAGAGATCTCTTTTGTTGGAAAGTAGGTAGAATTTGATGTCTTTGTTTGTTTTGGTATGAGAAATCTGGATTTTGGTCGGGTGAAGGTAGGAAGAATGTACTTGGAAACAGTGGGGATCTCGTTAGTTTTAAGTTAACTTGCGCTAGCACCACTATAGGCGAATTGAAGTTTGTGGATATGGTAGGTCCTTGTATGTTCGGCTGTATATCATGCAATTCTCTCATTTTGTATACATTCTGCAAGAGATGTTGCAGTGGACTAGGAAAAAGAGGTTAAAAGTTGAGGTTGAGTTGGACATAACTAGATTATTATTTTAATGATGTATGAGCCTATCTGGTTGGGCATCAGTTCTTTTCAAAATGCTCTAGCTTCAGTTGTGCTTTTCTTTAGCATCTAACCATTCTTCTTCCTTATTTTTCCCGAAAATCAAGGGCTTAAATTGGATTTTTTTTTTTGTTTTTGAATCAGAGAAGAAATTGAAATGATTAATTTAAATCATTTGTCATGTTAAAATAAAATAAAAAATACATTTGTTTATTAATCATTGTTTTTTTGCCAACTATTAATCGTTGTTATTATTATTAATATTATATATATATATATATATATATATATGAGATGTGTATAATATTAGCTCCAGTACAAAAACCCGTCATATTTTGTAGTAGTCAGTATCCTTCCTCCGACTCGAAGCTTCACCAATTTCTCTACATTTTTCAGCTCAAACTTCTTTCAACTGATAACTTGTGCATTGATATTCATATAACTATCTCTTTTTCAGAACCAAAACAATGATGAGATAAAAAAACACTTAAACCAGCCTCCTTATTTAAATCGGTAAACACACTCAGCTTGCCTTGTCAAAGCTACGCAATGTTTACTGTTCTGACGATGAAGTCAACCGAAGTTCAACAGCAATCAAAATCCACAAACATGGTTGGTTTAAAATTCTTAATTCTTGACTTGAGTCATCTGGAGAGGACAAGATAAAATACTCCAGCGGACAAGCCAGAAATACAAATAATAGAAACCCCACGAGTTCTCACAAAGAGAAGATTCAATTGCTTGGCGACCTGAAGCGTCAGAGTGAGAACCTGTAGCCTTCCTTCAGCCTCCTTCTTCTTAAAGAAGTACATTGGCTTCAGAGATTGACGCAGCAAGAAAGCCAGCGAGAATGGAAATGCAAATGCCAGAAAGCTTTGTAGAGAAACCTCCGTGATTGAAGACGACCCCTTGATATATGTGATCCAAGCTCCTAATCCAAGCTGAACCAGACCCAGAAAAGCCATTGCCTTGCTTAAGCTATACATGTTCCTCATCATCTTCTCTAGGACATCTCGAGTTTCTTCAGCCAGAGCTGAAAGATCCCGTTCAACAGTAGGACCCTCAATTTCCTGGTGCTTGAAGTTGGGGTTTTGACTAGGATATGCGTTAGGGTCTTGATGTTTCTCAGATTCTGAAGATGATTTTTCAGTAGAGAAAGATCTGGGTCTTGTCACTGACGACTGTATAATAAAAGGGTCTCGGGAATTCACATTGGAGAGTGAGAAAGATCTCAGAATACTAAGATCTAAATTTCTAGGTTTCTGGCCAAACATCTTCTGGTCATTGAAGCCAGGGTTTTTACAAAAATTTTGGGATATTAAAGTAGAACTTGATGCCCAAAATGTTCTGGGTTTCACAATCATGTCTGAAGGCGTTAATTGTGTAGACTGAGCCAAAGTAAAAGTGGAATAGCATTGGGGATTGAAGAGGGAAAAAGGCTCAGACTTAGAGATCGGATTATGCAGCTTTGCGAAGACCAGATTAGAAGAAAACATAGACAAAGAATGAGATGGTTTTAGCAGCCTAGAACCTAACCTTCGTGAAATCATGGCCGCCGTTGTTGATGCCTAATTGAAGGAAGGGAAACAGGTGGACTGATATTGTTATTTTATGAGCTACGACACTCAAAAATTTCCCAAGAAAATCCTGGGTACCACCTGTGATATGAAGCTCAACTTAGATGAACAATTCTAACACATAATATAGACCAAGAGCAGGATTAAATCATGCTAACAGACATGGGACAGAACAAGAGTTTCTGCAGAATCCCAATTCTCAACCCAACCCAACCCAACTGAACTGCAAATCATAGTGAAAACCACAATTTTAGACTGAAACATTGTTACCAAACAAAGACATATTAGAAAAGCTTTGACCCACCATTTGTTGTCAAATTTCGAGAGATAAGCAGTTACAAGAGTTTCAACCAAGATTTGTTAGGGGGGGGGGGAAATGAACCCAGGCTTCATATTAATCGAAACACAGTGAGCTCTGTATTAAGAGGATTTGATCACAGACGTTTAATATTAGGAGCAAGACATCATGGTTGAAATAACAACATATTTCTGATCAATTTTCACGCAAAAAACAGATAATCATAGTAGGCCAAGATATAATCCAATATCAATCAAAAAGAGAACTCCACAACTAGTGAAAGTTAACCCAATTCAGACAAAATTCAACATTCTTTTCTTCTTCCAAATAGAAAATAGAAAAACTATCTGATGGGAAGCACAACTAACAAAATAAAAAGAAAAGAAGAAACCGCTCCCCAGCCACCAAATCATAATAACGAGCTCGCCTCTTACAACGCCCTCAATCTATACAACCGAGAGCAGCAGGGGGTAGAAAACAGACTCTTTTTCTTTATTTACTTTCTGAACCATCACCCATGCATGCGTACAATCAGGAAAGTAATGACTGATCTTTGCTACACAATACACATTCCAAATTCAAACAGAACTCGGGAATCTAAGATACAGAAATCAGGTTGGCAACCAGAGAGCAATGGCCAAAAGCTTTGCGCAACTATTGTCAACTAACAATCTCGAACAGGACTAGAACCATATGTACATTTCAAAACACAAAAGCTAACTACGCATAAGACTGAGACAAAATCACTATTACTCCACGCTACCTGTGGATCACTCCAAAAACATCCCAAGATTGCATCAAACACAGAGCCAGTGAAAGAGTCGGAACCCATTACCCAATTGAATGTTTCTTTAGTTCGAAAAATGCTACTCTTTCCCCTTCATCCTCCGTGCACTTAAATTGACCATCTCTCGAGAATTTTCAAAGCTCAGACCCTCTTTACCTCTTTGATTGATCGAAGATGTGAAGAGAGTCAGAGAATAGTCAATGCTTGGATTAGGCACAAAGAAGATTCGATATACTACAAAAAAAAAAAAAAAAAAACCTACCTCGCGCACTCCACTGCTTTCCTCGCTCCTGAAGATGGATCCGAATCGGTATCAACCTCCTTGGCAATTTGAGAGCTGGGAAATTCTGGGTTTTCGTGGGTCCCGTCTTCAACGCAGGCAAATCCAGCGTTTTGACCCTACTTTCTATTTTTTTTTTCCCTTTGGAATATTAATTTATAGTCCTTTTAAATAGGACACTTTTTCAAAATAATTTTTAATTTAAAATATATGATATTTTATAATATTTAAATTATTTTTTTAATTTTACTCTTTTCCGATTAATGTAAAGGTATTTAATGTAATTATATTATAATTTAATATTAAGAATAAAAATAAAAATACATACTCCGTTTATAAATATAAGGCATTTTTAATCGAATCTCACTCCTAATAAAGTAGTTACCTACTTTTAAACTGACCTTATCTTTTTATATTTATTCTTATTAAACACCCTATAATAAGTATAAAATTACTATCAATAAGGGTATTTTTGAAAAAAAGGCAATGATTATACTCTAAAGACTAAAAATGCTTTACATTTTTTAACATTCAAATCTTTAAAAAATACCTTATATTTTTAAATGAAGGGAGTATAATTTTTTATGGCATTAAAAAAATTAATTTTTTTCATAAAATGATTGAAAATATTTTATAATAAGAACAAGAGAGAGCAAGTTTTTATAATTTTACATGATTTTTAATTAGGTTCTTATAATTTATTTTATTTTTATTAAGTTCTTATAGTTTGATCGACTAGACATGTCAATCCCTAGTTATTAAAATTTATTAATTTTCTCTTTTATAAAATAAAATTGATAAATTCTATTTGTTTATTAAAATATTATATAATTTTTATAATTTAAAATTTATATAATTAGGCTTTTTTTAAGTAACTCTTATATATCAATTTTTTTTCAATAAATATTAAATCAAATTTTCTATAAATTTTAAAATTATTTTATTTTTAAAAATTTAATATTCATTAATAATTGTAAATATCAAAGAATAATATATTTAATCAATTAAAGTATAAGGATTTGATTAAAATAAAATAAATTATAGAAATTTAATTTAAAATTGAAGAAAACTAAAAAAAACTTGTGTGAATTAATTTTTGGGAAAATTAGTCAAAAAGGACCTAGTAAGAAGCAAATTTAAACTTAGGGACCAAATATATTTGAAGGTCCAAGGTCAATATTTTATTTATTAAATAATTTAAATAAACAATTGAAATGCCCTTTTATGTTAATTAATTTTTTTAAAAAGGTGAAAAATTCGGTCGTTGAAGCTCTAACCCTTCCTCCCGACAGGTGAAGGGTTGTCAACAAAAAAAAATTAACACCCCTTGATTACATGTAAACTCAACAATCAAAAGATACAAGGATTTTGACTTAAGATGTAAAGGTTCTAGCTTGGGTGTAAGATTTTTAGTTTAAGGTGTAAGGGGTATGGCTTGGGTACAAGGGTTATGACTTAGGGTGCAAGGGGTTTGGTTTGGGTGTAAGGGTTATAACTTAGGTGCAAGGAGTTTGGTTTAGGGTGCACATGTTATGGCCTAGAGTACAAGGCTTCTGACTTGGGTGCAAGGGTCTTGAATTGAGTATAAGAGAGATGCTTAAGGTGTAAGGTTTTTGCCTTGGGGTCACGTGTTATGACTTAAGGTGCAAGGCTTTTAGTTTAGTGTGCAAGAGTTATGACTTGTGTTGTAGCAATGAGATTTACATGTAATATGTAGAACATGTAATTCTAGGACGTTGACAAGGGCATGCTTTCTATATGTTTGATTTACATGTAATCTGTTAGAGATACATATAAATCATTCCTCAGTTATGTTCACAAGTTCTTCACATATTGATAAACATGTAATTCATAGTCATTTTCATGTAATTCTAGGGCAATGATAAGGGTGTTCATTCTATATGTTTGATTTACATGTAATTCACTAGAGATTATATGTAAATCATTCTTCAATCATGCTTGTGAATTTCTTCACATACTGCTTTAGATGTAATTCGTAGTTTTTTTTATGTAATTATAAGGTAATGATAAGGGTGTGCTTTTTGTGTATTTGATTTACATGTAATTCACTAGAGATTACATGTAAATCATTCTTCAATCATGCTTACGAGTTTCTTAACATATTGATGTATATATAATTTGTATTAATTTTCATGTAATTTTGGGGTACTAACAAGGGCAAGCTCTCTTTGTATTTGATTTACATGTAATCTGATAGAAATTTCAAGTAAATTATTCCTCAGGCATGCTAGCGAATTTTTTTCCATATTGATTTATATGTAATCAGTTGTCATTTTCATATAATTAAGGAGCACTGATAGTGGCATACTCTTTATGTAGTGGATTTATATGTAATCCACAAAATATTACATGTAATTGTGGCATTGATAAGTGACAATTAAATAATTTTACATGAATGACAACTAAATTTTTAATAAAAAAACAAATAAATGTCCATGGGGACTATGAACAATAAAAATGTGAAAGAAATAACAATAATTCTATCAGTTTAGGTATGTTATTATCCCAAGTACAAACCAAATGATAAACAAAAATCATAATGCATCTCAAATCAAAAAATATATCATAAGGGATAAAAACAACATTATATCCATGTTAAACTACCTCCTACCCTATACAAAAAATAAATAAGGAAAGACTCATAATAAATTCTTTCTTTTTTAAATATTATACATTGTATAACCAACCATATTAACCTATAAAAAATGCAGATTCAACAATGTAAGATGGAGGATAACTAAATTGTCCTAAAAAATAAATAAATTTGAAGAGTAAGAATAAACAATGATAATTTAAATGAAAGAACATTAATTCCATTATGTTTGATTTATCTTTTTATCAAGTATAATCAAAATGATAAACAAAGACCATATGACACCCCATATTAAAAAAAAATATACTATGAGGGGTTAACAACAGTATCATACCAATATTAAACTACATCCTACCCTATACAAAAAAAAAAAAACAAATAAGGGGAATAAGCATAAGTATACTTCAAAATACAATCATAATTTCATTCAATCTTCCATAGGAATCCCTTGATCATCATTTTCTTACAACTTACTTAAGTTATGATATGCATGAGTTGAATTTCTAAGAACTTCTTAACTTGAATTTATTTTTGCTCATCTTTAGACAAAACCTTATATTTTAATGTGTCTAAAACATTTTACCTAAAATGAAAATTAGTAACTATCACAAGTGGGTCATTCATGTAAAGCTGCCCTAAATTAGGATTTAAATTATTACATTAACCATGATTAATTAAAGATTAACCTAAATAGATTATCTTATAAGAGGTTAACCTAAATAAGTCATTAACATGTATTTTCACAAACTATTTGAAATAAAGGGATCCCAAATCTTTAAGATAATTCAAGAACTCATATTATTCAATTAAACCTATGTGGAAGCATGTGATTGATTAAGTATTAAGAACATATCTTAAGATAGGAGAAAAACTTCCTTACTTATTTCATCTCTTTGCCTTACTCTATATAATATATATATTTACCAACATAACACTTGGCTACTCAAACCCATCCATAATTGACAATAGGGGGCTAAGATCTCAATTGCATTTATCACAATAATTATCACCTAATTATCAATAGCCCATCTCATGCATGAATTTTTCTTTTCATTCATATATAGTTAATATCAATTACTCATTTTGGATATCAAAAACACAAGGGAGACTATAACACTATTTAAGTTCTCACATCATGCATATAATAACTATTTTCAATTGCACAGGTATTTTGGTCTATTAATATAAACATATGCACCAAACCACATTCCCAAAGGTCCAAAATATGCCTTTACCAAACATAAAACCTATAGTGCAAGTAGATAAAAAAATATTATCTTAATTGACAATATCATAAACTGAATACACATATCCAAATAAAAAGAAAGGCCTACAAGAGTGATTATTATCATTTGGCCTAATGCTCCTTTCCTTTATTGTTCCTAGATAAGCAATCTCTTGTAATATGTTAAAAGAATGGGATGAGTACAACCACTCAAGGTACATCTAAGTTATACGGATGCATGATAGTTAATCATAAATACAAGTGGCTAATAAATTCATCAATATAACCATGTAAACAATCATATCAAAATCATGTTACTCACATTAACATCTAACTCAAATGAATAATCTTAAAAATAAAGTCAAGTATAGAATTGGCATGACTGCCCACAAGTACTTAATGTTCATATAAAATTGGCACGAGTGCCTACATATACATTTCTCACATATTTATCACTTGTTCTCATTTTCCCAATTACAATCGTAATCTCAAACACAATCATCAATCATTCAAATGGTGTAACAATAGTGAAATGCATGATCAATCTCTTTCTTATATCCCTTCTTATTTCCTCTAACATGAAATTCATGGGCCAACCACGGAAAGGAATTGTTCATATTGTGAGACTACTTAAGGCCTTAATCATATTGTGAAGGGCTACTGGGTTAGGGTTACTTACTTATGAACATGGTTTTCCTCAAATCACACACAATGGGGTGTCATACCTAAGACTAGCTTTACCCAAAACTCCAAGTAAGCCAGTAGGGTTAAGTCCCTTAATAGGAATAATGCTACAGTATCTTACAAGGTAAGTTGCTGCTATAGCCTTTAGAATTAACGGTTAATAGCTAAGTACCATATAAATTTTACACAACCGCTAGCTCCTTTACCAAACTCCTGCCATATGATCATGGTCTTGAAAAATGCATTTCAATAACTTTCAAATAGGTAATTCACAATTATCTCACATGTTTATCAATTTTTATGCTCAGCAAGTATAGAAAATTATCATATGTCAATCATGCCTCATGCATCAATTTTTATATTACCATATAAATTACACTAGCATCATATGAAAACTCAACATGCTCATATATAATTCATCACCATGTATAATTCATAATTTATAACTAAAAGTATGTATATTATCATTAACCTT